TTTGCAGCAAAGGTTTCCCATGTTTTCTCTACCCACATATGTAAGAAATGTTTCCTCACTGAACTAATGCAAGCTACTTTCAGGCACGTGGAAGGGGGGGGGGGAGTTTACAAATTTCCAGTGTCTGAGAGGGGAGACTGGCTGTTGGTGCACTCAACAGCTTCAGCAAGCCAAGCTAACACTCGGAGAGGGTCCCTCATCGCCTCTGTTCTCCCCCCCAAAAAAAAATCCTCTGAGCGCTCCAGAGCACACTGATTTCTGCAGCAGCCAAATCGCTGGCTCACAACTTTAAGGCCAGTAACTGGCAAAGTAGACATTTTACTCACAGCCTCACAGGACTCCGCAGCTTAGCGTATAAGTGACCAGCTCCCCCACTGCCCCCAGACTCTGTTTGTGATCCCAGGAGGGATCCGGTCCCTCCCCCCTCGTTTCCTCCTGTGGAGGAGCTGGCCTGATCCTGTTTCCCCGAGGCGAACAGGAGCGGCGCCCCAGCCCCCCATGCACCCCTCCTGATGCTGGGGCTGCAGCGACGGTTGAAGGGGGACATGTGGGCCTACGAAGGCAAGGTGTGGGGGGAAGCAAGCAGGCGGGAGAAGGCAGGAGGAAAACCCAAGGCACAGGCAGGGTGGTGCAGGGTGGCCTGCGAGCAGGCGGGCAAGGGGCTTGGAGCACATGCCTACCTCGCTGCCTTCCTCTCCTCCTCCTCTCGGCACAGCAGCACCAGGTCAGAGCCCCCGCCAGAGCAGGCCAAGCCCAGGGGCGCCAAGACGGCCCCTTAGTTGCACCGGAGCAGGGCATTTGGTGGGGGTGGGGCGGCAGGCCAGCATGGCTCCTCAATAGGCAAATGCCTAAATTCTTCTATCGGTGGTCCGCCTGTGCGTGAGTGACTGGGGGGGGGCCTGTTCACTGGCGGAGCATCTCTCTGGGGCACTCCGGCCCGATATGAGGCCTGCTAATACTATATTAGTCTGTGCAACATGGAAGAAAAACACTAGCATATGGTCTGGCTGCCTTGATTAACCTGAAGGTTTTGTTACTGGTTTCAATAGTATTTGGATTGCAATTCTAACGAGATTTCAACAATCTGTCAATCAATGTGACCAAAGGTCTCAAGCATAATTAGACAAATTACAAGTATAAATCCAACAAGTATAATACACTGAAATTTCTAATATTAATACTATTATCTGAACAAAATGCTACTTAAAGCTGGAGAAACACCATTTGGTTGCCCCTTCAAAACCCCAGTCAAAGCAAAAAAAGACACAACCTGCACTTTAGAATATATCGTATTTTAAGGAATGAAAAATGACTTAAAATCTACACTCTAGAATGGCATTGTGCAGTATTAAAATTACTAGAGACCCCGGTTTCAGAATTACAAAAAATGCACAGGAAAACATGTCTAAACTCTAACATTTGCCTGAAATTAATCTAAAAGCCAGTCTTTGATGCTACTTTTTGCTATTAATCCCAGAATACCCAATGCATTGCTCAAAGCTACAATCGTGCAAGCAGCAGCAAGAAGCTGGATCTAGTATATCTGCAACTACATGTACGAAAATTATTGTTTTACCATCCTACAATTATAGTCATTGCTTTTCTAATGGAGGCCAGCATTATATAAAGTTGGTCAGTCTCAGGTAAAAGCAAGATTTCCAAAGAGCAAAGTATGATCTGCAATTCAGTACACCTCATACACTTTTCAACTGTTTTTGAATAAACAAATAGAATAAATAAACAAATAATTTTGGAATTTATGATGGTACAGATACTAGCACAAGAGGAAGGACCACTTTGCAAGTTTAGCCCTGAAGTCATTGTCCTTTGCCCAGTTAGTCAAATAAATATGAAATGATGAACTTCTGCAAGCTAAGAACCCCTGCCTGACTCACCTTAAGTTTGTAACTTTCTCCAAACACAGAGGATATAATGTTGTTCATGCCATTCTCTATCTGTCTTCTCATTTTAGGGTGCCGAGTGTTCACAAGCAAAGCATATGTTTTTTCTAGTGATGAAAGGGAAATTGTTACTATTTTAAAAAATAAAGGCACATATGAGCATCATAAGGTTTCAGATACTATACTCAAATCTAAGCAAATAACAGTTTTGTGGAGTTGACTTTTTTGCTGCTTCCATTAGTCTTCATAATTTTCATAAAGGCTTGGGAGTTATTTTAATGCATATTGATACAGATGAGACAAGGTGAGCTGTTACTTTATATATAAACTGGATCATTGGACCTTTAGATATTAAAGAAATTTGGATTCTCGTGGAATATACAAATATGCTTTATAGCAGTGGACTTAAACATTTCTAAACCCAGGACACACTTTTAGCCACCAGGTAGGGGACCTACACAGCTTCAAGCCTATGATATCGCTCACGTGACAGGAACAGGAAGAAGCAGAATGATGATGTCACTGGTAACCAGACCAAAGCCATGAGCAGCAGACCAATTGAGCCAGGGACAGGAAACACAAGCTGAGCATCAGGTGGCATACCACAGTGAAGAGCAAGCTAAGGGTCAGAAGCTATGATGAGTGACACTGAGGGGATGAGATGAACACAGAGAGACAGAGGTGGGAGGTGGGAACTGCTTGCGCTTTGCTGGGGGGGGGACACAATGAAAAGCTTATTTTGGATAAGCATACTATGCTGCAACCATATGTGGAAAACAGTGGTGTGGGTGGCAAAGCCAGGTTGCAGAAGAGAAGGCTTAGGAGAGATTTTTTGTGGAAAGAAGAGGGTCTGGAGTCTGGACAATAAGGTTTTCAGAGGACTCATGGTCAGGGTTGGTGACTGAGGAGTGTCTACGAACCTGCCTGTCCTAAAAAATTATCTCCACTGTCCTGCTGCTCAGTCACTGAGCATGTAAGGAGAGGAAGGAGAATGGTGTCCTTGCTCTCATGCCATGTGTCCTAGGAGCAAAAGGCAGCAAAGACAGACTGTTGCTCTATAAGATTTCTCAACCCAGCAGGTAGGTGCCATGACCCACCTGAGAACTCCCAACAAGCTGTAAGAGAACGTAACGGCATCCAGAATCAGACCACTAGTCCATCTAAGTGGCTAACCCCTGGGGAACCAAGGCAGAGTCCCACACCTACCCCCCCCCAAAAAAAAGAACACTTATTCAGAGAATTTGTCACCAAAAACAGGAGTTTTGTTTCATTCTTGGACAATATTCATTGATTGACCTATCTTCCTTGAATTTGTCTAATCCACTTTTAAAGTCATCTAAGGTAGTGGCCATAACTGCAACCTATGACACTAAGTTCACATATACTATATGGAAATAGTACTTTTGTTTGATTTTAATCTCCTCAGCTTCATTGTGGGCCTGTGAGTTGCAGTATGAGAGGGGGGAAATTTCTCTACCCTCTTCCTTCACACCACTTGTAATTTTTCTAAATTTGCCTTTCACCACTACCGTGCACTGCACTAATACTTTGTCTCTTTCCTGGCCAATGACCAGTAGTTCATATCCATCAGTGCACACCTAAAGTTAGATGGTAATCATTTGCCATGCTTCGCAGTCACCATTTGCACAGCACCTTCTGGAGCTCTTCACATACAGTATATTCTGCCTCTAGTCCCAGTCTAACAGCATGCTTTGGAACCTCTGGCTCTGGGATGTGTATCAGCAGCTTTTAGGTTTTCAAGATGTGAAGTCAAACCCCACTATTATCCTTGTCCTTGGGAAGTCACTGCAGTGCCAGATCATTGTTGGCATAACAAACTTAAAAGGCAAATTAACACTAATGATTCCATTTTGTTGCGGTTTACATTTTTTAGACCTCGCATATCCCAGTTTTATGGTCTAGTAACATACTAAGCCTAGCAGTTCTTACAAGTCCTCAAAGAGGCCAAGCTAATTATGGCCAGATATTCAAATTAAGTCAAAGTTCTTGTCCACACAGGACAGAGCTGTGAGGAAAACACATTTTGGTCCAGCTAATTATTAGCTTGGGAAATTATCAGCGGGTGAGCCATAAATTAGCATACAGCATAATGAAGATGTTTAACACACTCAAGGACCAATCAGGAATAACAAGTTTAGTTTATATGGTCACCATTTGTTTGGGTTTAATTCTTGGGGAAATACAGTGGAAGGAAATAAATATGTCAAAATTGGAGATTGATGGGCAGATGCATCCTTAATCACGGAATGCTGAGAGTAAGTAACTGAGACCCTGCCATTACGCTCCATCCGTTTCCTCTCAAGCATGGAACCGACCTTACAGCATCTTCTTCAAAGTGGGGCAATTGGCTGTGTAGAGTATCTCCCCTGTTCCCAGACCAAAGAAATACATTTCAATCTACCATTCCAAAATACATTTTATTATTCATTACATTACAATCTACTATTCTAATATACTACTCCAAATAAGAAATAAAGAGGATGTATGTCCCTTCTGGGGGATTGGTGATCACGTCTGAGTTGCAACCGTCGACTGCAAAAAATGTGTGCTATGTAAAGATTATATGTGTTCTCCTCCCTTACCCCTATAAAGCATTGCTAGTCCCTTGTGAAATGAGTAACTGTAAATCGCTCAGAGCCAGCAGCTCTGCAAGGATTGAGCGATCAATAAATTGAAAGATTATATTATTATTATTACAGATGAACATAAAAACATAAGAGAAGCCAATGTTGGATCAGGCCAATGGCCCATCTAGTCCAACACTCTGTCACACAGTGGCCAAAAATACCAGGTGCCATCAGGAGGTCCAGCAGTGGGGCTAGGACACTAGAAGCCCTCCCACTCTTGTCCCCCTCCAAGCACCAATAACAGAGCACTGATTGAGGTTAGCATATGTAGTGAGATAAGAAACCAATATCCCTGTTAAGTCTTGGAGATTCCATTGTTGAGTGTGGTAATAACTTGCAACTCAGCAATTTCCCTTTCAACTCTGTTCCTGAAGTTCCTCGGCAATAAAACAGATACTCTGAGGTCACCTGCTGAATGCCCTGGAAGGCTGAAGTGTTCTCCAATAGGTTCTCAGTCTTGTGATTCTTGTCCATTTATCTTTAGGCGTAGGGTTTGACCTATGTGTAAATGCAATTATGCCTCCTGCGAAGGGATGTTTCACAAAACAGTACAAAAGGAGACCATTTTTACATGCAATATTACAGACTCAAAACTGCCATTTTTCAGAAACACCATACCAATGCATGATATTAGTTTTAAGGGGCATAAATGTTCTGACTTCAACTATGCCAGTTAATACCAAGGATCTATTTAGTGTTTTAAGCTAAACTATCCCAATATATGCATTTTTAAAAGAAATTTATTCACACAAACCTTTTGAAGAATTATACTTTGTCCGGATATTAACGAAGAATACCAGTGGACGGCCCAGTATAGTCTCCCGATAGTTTTTGTAGTCATAGTGGGTGTTGAGCTCTACGTGCCTATTCAGGAGAATAAACATTTTGATTGTAAGCGTGAAGTAGTATTCATGGTTCCCTTTAATGAAAAGCTAGGTAATCTCACAAAGTAAACCGTAAAAAAGCCCAGAAATACACAAGTCAAAAGGTTAACTTAACTTTTAACAATATTAAAAAATTAAAACTATTAATAATCATGGTGTTTATCTGCAGTGTTGCCAATGCTTTTTTAAAAAAAGAAAGAAAATGGAATCCGCTTGTGACATCAGCACTTCAGGTCATGGCGGACAAGAGGTCCTCTGTTAATTGGCTGTTTAGCAACTTTTCTTTTTAAAACTATTTTGGAGTGCATCTCACTTTCTAAAGGTGAACCCTGTAGGAACTAAAATGTCTGGAGCTGTAGGCATTTAGTTCTGGATTGGCAAAACTGTACTGACTTCTACTGCCTATGTGCTTGCTTCTGCAGCCTCTATGTTTGTTTAGCATGTATATCTATTGGAGGAACAGACTATTAGAAACACTCTTCGGATCTCCTCTAGAATAGAAACAGGTTAAAAGGTTGCCTGGAGGTTCTTACTATTTTAGAGAAAGACTGTTCAAAACAGGAGACTCCATCTTTTGTACTACAGTACGAGCCAAAAATCAAAGTTTTCTTCCACGAAGGAAAGAACACTGGCTGAGAAGGCAATTGCCATCACAAAAGGCAATCTGGTAAGAAAGTTCCAGCTGGCTTGCATTCTTTATGGGTGACCTTTAGCCAACAAGCCTCAAAGCTCTGTCAGCCTTCTAAAATAAAATTGTAAGTGGAACTACCCTGTGGCTTCAATACAAGGTTACAGGTTTAGGAAAAAGTTTACAACCTAGACTTTGTATTACTTTATTTATTTTTTTCAGCCTTCAAATGACATTTAGGTCAATGGTTTAAAGTGCATAGGAAATAGGACTACCTTTGTCCAGAAAACAAGAGTCCAATTCTTTTGTTTGAAGTAGCTAGTCTGCATCATTAGGCAGGGAATTGCCTTGCCACATCTCCTGTTTTGAAGGCCCTCCTTTTCATCTTAGCAATTTGTTAAAAACAAAAACAGTACCATAAAATTATGAGTATTACATGTGGTTAAGGATATGTCACCTTTTCCCTTTCTCTAACCACGTGTTCCAAAACTACTTCTTTGGCAATGCTGGAATCTGAACGTCACCCAGACCACTTCCTCTGGAGTAGTTCCATAAGTCTTTGTATTTCTCTTCCGTCCCTTTTATTCCTTTCCTTTTATTCCCTTAGAAGCTCACTGATTCATAAATCTTGAGCAGCAGAAAATGCCTATTCCTTATTTGGGGGGTGGGGGAAGTTCCAGAGAAGTAAAAAGGACAACAAAACTGATTTTGCTTCTAGTCAAGCAGTTTGGCTAAACTAGTCTGAGGGTTAGGTTAGCCAGTCTTAGACCACTTTCACCCTAGGACGTGATAAAACACATTTAGGCCTCTTACACTCTGCTGCACTACATGCAGTCATTAATTAAAAGATATCCAGAGTCCTCTTATTTACATATTATGGCTAGGAGATCCAAAGACTTGTGCAACTAGTTCTCCTGTGCTCCTGAGACATAGTAGCTCTCTGTGCATGGTGTGACAGCTCTCTTTTGACAAGAAGGCCCCCTTCTTAAGTTAACTGGACAGCCTGGGAGACCCTGCTTCCTGCCCC